ACCTAAATGTTTCTTGGTCCATGCTGCTATTTTAAGGAGCAACAATCCTTTGCCAGTGTGCATTCTGATAAAATTCCAGGGCGTGGTGCGGCAGAGGGCAAAAGCCTGGCTGTGCTGAAGGAAGCTGTCCGCAGAGGCCTTGGGGAGGGCAGACTTCCAGGCCTTCTCTGACTTCTGGCTCTCTGAATTAGGGTGACAGCAAGAAACCTGGCAGTGGATGCTTGCTTGGCCTGTCACAGTTCGCTGTGTTCCTTACCTGAGATGACATAGTATGGCTGATATAGTGTGGAAGTACTTTAGGTGTGTGTGTGTGTTGCTAAAAATTGAAACCAAAGCCTGGAATATACTAGGCAAAAGTTCTACTATTGAACCACAGCTCCACACTTTTGAACATTTTATTCAAGACGGAGTCTCCTTATGTTTTGCAGGTTATCCTGGAATTTAAGATTCTCCTGCCTCAGCCTTCTGAGTAGCTGGGACTACAGGTACATGGTACTGTACCACACACCTAGAAATGTTTAAATTTTGTTGTAAGATACAGCTTCCCCGCTTCCAACCCAGATCCAAACTTCCTTGAAGACTAAAACCTGAGCTTTGCAGTTAGACCTGCGTCCAGATCTTGGTTCTTCCATTAAGAGTTCATTTGAGACACTGCTCACCTGTGGCTCAGGGGTTGTAACACTTACCCAGGTTGTCTGTGAGAATCCGAGGCCATGCGTCTGCAGGTGCTGTGTGCAGTGGAAGCCAATGATTAGAATAATTATTCATAAATACTAGCAGTTCAAGCTGACTGAATGCGTTGTTTTTATGTGGGGGAGTGGAGGAATAATAATTATTTTTTATAAAGGGGAAGCCAGCTGACTCTTGCTGTTATGATGGGAATGCAAACACCAACTTTCTAACTCTTCATTAAGAAGCATATGTTTTAAGACAATAACAGGAACGAGAAGACCTATTCTTTCTGTGCCAGCATCTGTCCAGTGTAGAACAAAGTGTTGTTATTCATGGCCAAGGTCCACCTTGAAAGGTTGGCATTTGTCTTTACAAACACAGTCTTTCTGACGATCCCACATTAATGATATGGAGCCTGCAGAGACCTGTGAGTGCCTTAGGAAAAATATGCCATTTGCACCTCATGGGAAGGGGCTAGAGCACCATCCACATCAGTCCTGGGTTTACCCCTCTCAGACTGAGGCAATCCTCATAGATGATTTAGTCCAGCTCCTGGCAACCGGCACCCAGGTGACCCTCAAAAAAGGTCAGCTACTGCCATCATCCCGGCCTCTTATCATCGGCCTGGAGTCTGAGACCAACCAGCTCTGGGTCTGGAAGCTGCCTGAGGCTCTGAGCTGCCGCAGCCCCTTTGGGTATTCTGGGAGGGCTCCTGCTTTGGCAGGGAGGATTTCCCAAGCCAGCTTTACTTTTTATCTGATGGGAAGGCTGAGTTAAGAGGCAGCAGCTGGGGACAGCACAAATAAATACAGAAAATCCTCTTTGGGACTGGCATTGTGCTGAGGACAATGGCAGGCCCTGGAGAGCACTTTAATCCAGCTGAGATTGGAAAGGAAATATATGTGGTCACAGCACAGCCTCCTCCATTGCTGCAGCCTATCCTGGGTCCACAGGCCGCACAGGAGAGGAAGGATTTTTTTTCCCCCAAATCCTCAGCTCAGGTTGGGCACAAGGGAGTCTGGAGGTATGCAAGCAGGTCCTTGGGGTGGGGCCCCGACTTCCTGAAGCTTTGGCCACTGTCCTCTCCATTATCCCGGGCTTTCTCAAGAGCTGCCAGCCCCAAGCTCCACCCTTCCTAGCGCTTTCCCGCCCACAATGGGCCCCTGCTCCAGTGCGGCAGGGCAGGCTGGCGGACACACCCCGGCAAGGCTGGCTGGCTGGCTCTGTGGGCAAAAGGAGCCTCTTCCAGCAGTGGGGGCGATTAAGGGGTGCCGAGTTTCAGCAGTAGCTTTCTGGAACACAGGAAATGTTCCCAAATACTGTGGACTGGGAGCTCTGTATGTGCAGCCCTTGGTTACTTGGAAGTGAGGCAGAGGAGCAGGAGCAGTTTTCTGAACCAATGCCATCTCTCACGGGAACAAATCCCAGCTCTTTCCCAGGAGGTGCTTCTAAGCGTCCTTGGAGTAGCGCAGGGAGTCTTCCACACCCAGGAAGCTGGCATCTCTGGTTCTGAGCAGTCTGTGACCCTGGCTGGCCACAGCTCTTGACACTTGCCCAGAGGTAGAGCTTGGGGCTGGGAAGATGGGGTTTGTGTCCCCAGGCCCCAATCATCAGACAGATCTTGTATAAAACACTTAGTCTCTCTAAGTCTGTTTCCTTAATTCTCAAATAGAAGTGATGTAAGGAAATGTATGAAAGAAATCACATAATATGTTTAGCTCAGGGCCAGGCAAGTAGTAAGTATTATATGGCACCACTTTATTAATAAAGGTTGATATTTGAGGGCTCCTTTTGTATCAAGCTGGGTCTTGTTTTCCAGCGAGTCTCATAATAACCCTTTGAAGTAGGCATTATTATCCCTCTTTTGTAGAAATGGAAGTTGAAGCTTAGAGAAGCCAATCATCACTAGCTAGTTACTGGAGGAGCTAGGACTCAAACCCAGGCACTTTGACCCTATACCCAGCTCTCAGCTGCTGTGCAATAATTTTGGTTATTACTGTTCATTAGCATATCAACAGGATCGCAACCTCAGACTACTGCTGAACAAGGACAGTGCTGTTATTGGATATAAGAGGTTGTGAGCTTGTTTTAATGCTTGGCTATTCGTATGAAGGTTACCGTAGAAGGGGAAATGCTCAGAACAATGTTAGGGATGGAACCCAGGGTCTCACACATCTAGGCAAGTGCTCCACCACTGAGCCACATGCCCAGCCTCAAGTGATCACTTAAAATAGCACTACTAGGCCTATTCAAGCACCAGAAACCCTCACCACCCAATGTCATCTGTTATTGTACTGCTTCCCTGCATCTGAGTACTTTTCTTACCTTATTTGCTTTTAACATCCCAATACAGCCCAAGCAGGCATGGATTCTGAATTTACCTATGAGGATGCTGGGGCAGGGTCAGGGATTTAGCTCAGTGGCACAGCACTTTCCTGGCAAGTGTGAGGTCCTGAGTTTGATTCCCAGTACCCACAAAAATAAAATAACATAAAATGAAATAAAATAAAATAAAAGGATACTGGAGCTCAGACAGCTCACATGGTTCTTCAAGCAGCTAACTGCTCTTCGGAAAGATTACTAACATTCCTTGAGCATTTACTATATGCTGGGTACTGTACTAAGTGTTCAACATGTGTTATCATAATGTAGCAAGGGTCTTCTGATGGGTATTGATATTCTGTTAATTTTGCAGATGAGCAAAGTGAGGCTTGGGAAGGGTAAATAACTGGCCCCAAGACAAAGCTAGTGACTGACCTCCAAGCCATTGTTCCTAACCGCCCTTCGCTGGTAGTAATGGAGCTCATGGCAGCAGACTAATAGAACTGACTGTGGGAGGTTTAGAATGGGACACAATCCTTATCCTCACAAGGTCACAGGCAGTGGGACCTGGAGGAAGACAAAAGAGTATTTGATGGGGAGAGACCTAGACAGTCCCACTTCTGTTGCTCACAGGCTGAGTAATCAGGCACGTTTGATGAACCTTTGAGCTTCGCTTTCCTTACCTGTATGGCTGAGCTACAGTGGCCTGCCTGGCAGGGCTGCATTGAGGATATGTTAGTATAAAGCTACGTTGCCTGGCCCTCAACCTAGAGAAGCTCTTACTAGAGTTCAGCTATAAAGCAGAAACACATGCAGAGCTAACAGTACTAGGCAATACTCGCTTAGCACTGAATGTGAGCTTCAGTCATAAGCATGTGAAGAATTTGCTGGGGCAGATCGGCTGGGCCATCCAGACAGGTTCAGAGAAAGGGTGTGAGCGTGGGCTTGCCTTTGATTTCGGGCAGAGGGAGCCTGTGGGAAATTCCCATGGGTAACTCCAAAGAGTTGATGGGAAACTGCTTTCAAAGTCAATACTCACCATGACCTTTCCCCGAGGCCAGACCCACCCTGCAGTCCATCTCCTTGAAGAGCTGGGCACTATTCAGAGGAAAGTGAGTGGCAAAGCTGTGCCAGCAGGAAAGGACCTGGTATGTTTGGGGAACCCGCAGTGGTTTGGAAGAGGCAGAGGGTGAGCCAAGGGCAGGGCATGGAGGGAGGAAGAGAGGCAGAGCCTAATGCCACAGGGAGCTGGAGAGAAGCGCTGAAGATAACGCCGGCTGTGGAAGGTGGGGACCAAGGTTGGAGCTAGTGGAAGCGGAGGTGGGTGAGAGATGTGGAACTAAGGCCTCCTGAACTGTTTCCTACAGCAATATGGCAAAGATACTACCTTGCTCAGAATAACCCGTCAGGCTTCCAGGCAAGGGTCCAGGGAATGCCAGTGTGACTGCCCACGCAATGAGACAGGAGGAGGGTCCTGGCCAGAGCAGGCCATCTTGAGCCACATCCTTGCCTTTTCTGGCAAGCCCAAACTTCTGGCAGTAGAGGCAAGTAACCGAAAACTAGATTTCTTCGTGTAAAGTTCAAGAGGGGAGGTCAAATATCCCAGGATACTTTTCTCTTGTACTCTAGCTCCTATGACAGCCCACACTCACCGTCACTCAGAAGCTCTTGTCCTCAAGCCTCTTCCAACCCCTAGTTTGTCCAAATGCTGAGACTGTCTCAGCTGTGTCAGAAACAGAACCCATTAGTTAACACCAGCTAGTGTAAGAGCTCTACTGAGAACTTCTTTTCTCTCATCAGCTTGGTCAGTGTGGTCTGGATTGCTGGACAGTGTTGGAAATATTCGCTGCAAACCCCCTGCCGCCATGTATGGGACAAATATGGATTCCCAAGGCTTTGGTTTCATTCTGATCTTGTTTTGGTTCTTGGAAGCTAGGTGGGTAGTTTTAAAAATGGGAGAGACCTTCACAAGGAGCGTGGGGACAAGAAATGAAGCAGTCACGGAGGCGCTTACAAATGAAGCACACGGCTTTATTCACCAGGCTGTGAGGAGATAGCGACGCGGAGTGGAGTGGCGAAGGGGCGGGTGAGTGCTGCTGGCAACAGGAGCGTGGAGCAGGTTGGGAACGGTGCAGCTCAGCGACGTGGAGACCCGCAGGCCACCCCCTCTGCTGCACCCAAGCACAAGGTCTTCCGGTGCACACACCCACTCACTTTCACAGGGAACAAGGCATAGCTTCTCAAAGGTTTTTCTAAACATGTACTTTCCTATGGCTGAAAGGGGAGGGAGGCCGGGAAGGCTGCATGCCTTTCACCAGTTGGAAAAAAATCCATAAACCCAACTCAAAATGAAAGAACTCCCGAGATCTTCAACGCAGGGTCACTGGCAACTCATGGAAACCACTTACATTTATTACTGGACAAGTCGGTACACAAAACCCGAAAGGAACATGAGTTTTGGGGACAACAGTCTCCCCTTTAGCAAGGTAAAAAAACACATGCTTACGTAGTCAGGCAGTGGGCCCTCACCCTATCCACAGGTTAGGGTCCACAGTGCCGTCCTTCCATGTCCCCTCGAAGGGCTCAGGAAGTTATTCATGGGAACTTCACTCTTGGGAGAGACACGCTAGGTGAGTTTTTTGTTAATTGTAATTGCCACTCAAGTACGCTAAGCTTCAGAAAACGTTGGCTTTGTTTTAATTTTATTGTGTACACATTCACTGTTTAGAAAGTTTCAACCTAAAGTGACCACCTCCCCCTTTCTGAGTTTGCCATACATTAAACTTATCCAAATGAAAACGTAGCAAGCCATATGCAAAGCATATCTGTCACCAGCTCCTTCTGCTTCCTGACAGCCAATGGGAAGATACAGTGGTTTGTTTATATGCCGCTTTCTCTTCCTCCATCGCAGTGTAGCTGGGTAGTTCCCTCAATGTACACCTTTGGGGTTAGATGATAACACTGCAAATCTTAAGCCCCCAAATAATCTCTTTTTCGCGTTGAAATGTTCTTCAAAAAGAAGCATTAAGAGGAAGCTGTAGGGCACATGGATAAATACTTAGTTTGTCAAAAGGAAATAATTTTAAAAATCAAATAAGATCAAGGCTGGCACAGGAAGTAAAGATTAAATAGCTACCAGGAATATAGACAAAGCAGTTTAGCTTGCTTCAGGGCACAGAAGGGTTGATGAGACAGAGTTCATTTCCCTCCCCTGATTCATGACAGCCAAGAAATTGGGTGGGGAGTGAGACACTCACACCGGAGCCATGCCCCCCACCCATCATGCCCCAGAAAGCCCAGGCTGTTTTCTGTATGTAATTTTTAGAAAGGCTCACCTAGTCAAAAATGGTTAATTTGAATTCTCTTAAACTTGCAAAAGCGTATGTATTTTCTACCATCATCTGAGAAGCAATTCTTAGAAAACGATGTTTGCTTCAAAATATAAAGAAATAGGGTGAGAGTTTTAGAAACATTTCCAGCGGCACCCCTCTGAGTCATGGGTGACGGATATTGGACAATGATGGGGAAACGGATGGCTGGGAGAGAAAACTCCTCCAGCCTGGGCCTCGGAAGAGAAGGCAGCAGGTTTGGGGTTGGGGGTGGAGAAGAATAGAGGACATCACAGATAGAAAACCATCCCAAAGTAGTTTTTTTTTTTTTTTTTTTGGTACCTTATTATCCATCAATTTTAATTTCTCTCTTTGAGGTTGCAGAGAACAGGCAGTTTATGTTGAATTCCTGAAGAAGTTCTATTAAAAACATTTCATAACAAACCCCAAACCAAAACTGAGATGCATAGCTAGCTGTACAGGTTTTCAGATGCTCTTCATGTCTCCAAGTAAATCACACAGGAAGAACACATGATAGCCTGCACTTCCTTGAAGACATTTTAAAGGAAGCACTGACCCTCCTATTGTCATAGAGGCCCCTTCGACCTCATGCAGTTAATATGCACTTCAAGTCATAAATAAGTCAAATGCTTGAAAATGTAGCCCTTAATATATGCACCGAGCCTGTCATATATGTAATTCTTTCCCTAGAGTGAGTAAGTGACTTTGATTATGTTACAGTTCACACTTTTCTGTATAATACAGGGTAGGGTTTCTCTTCTGTGTTGTGGCCTAGACATTTCGAGGTCAAGCATGCTGAGCTCAGTTTAATAAAATGGAGAGGGCACTGTAACCCATGCCCTGGGTCAGGCAGTTAGAACCAGATGGCTCCCTGACCATCTGCCAACTGGAGCCTCCTCCCTGGGAGTGGAAACGCGGGCCCCCGCTCCAGATAACCGTCTCCAGTGGCCCCTCCCCAGAGCAGAGCCCTACTCTGCTTAGAGACAGGGGGCCACTGATGTTTTCTAGTAATTGCATTTTTGCATGTACAGTTTAGATGAACCAGTATGCTTGATATGGAAAGAAGCCTTATAAAAAAATTTTAAGCTGGGTACAGAACTGCATTAAAAGATATAAGAAAAGCAGGGTGTCTTTCACGTTAGTAGAATTTAGAGTCCAGTTCTGTAACTATCATTGCAACCTTCGGCAGACACTTCTTTCTAAGTCTCTGCAACATAAAGAGGAGGATGGTCTCTTCTTTGTCTAATTTTCCTACTGCATGACAAAGCCATGTCCTTTTAATGTAGAACAATAAGACCCCTAGCTAAGCCATTCAAGTACCTTCATTTTTCTCACCCTGGCCATGTGATCTGCATTTTATGGGTGATCACTCACTAACCAAAGAAAAACATGGCAGGTTCTTTATCACCATAATGAAAAAAATTCTCTCCATCATCCAAGTGCGGGGGCCCACATAGCCATAGTCACCATTATGGTGGGACTATGGTGGGGAGACACTGTGAATGCACCTTAGTCCCCACCTCTACACTCTGCCAGGGCAAAGCAAGAACTAGGACATAGAAGTCTGTGCAGAGAGAGAAGACAGGGAAGACATGGAGACATGAGAGGCAGTCAAGGCCTGCAGGGGAAAACTGCAGGCTGCCTCAGACCAAGCAGAAGCCAGTCTCCTCTGCTCAGGCCCATTCTGTCAGAGCCACCTGCTGCGTATGTCAGTGGGTCCAGCACATACATGCACACATACAGGGATTCATGAGAGTAGTTCTCAAACTTAGATCCCCTCAGTAAGCACACAGAGGAATACTTAGAGCAGCTACAGTATTTGCCGCAGCACTCAGACCCAACAGGCAGAAGGGGCACAAGTCTCAGGTCTGCAGCACAAGCTCAGAAACTCTACAACTTGCTCTTTACCACTGGGGTGGACAGCTGGTGATCCTAGTCCTTGGTGCAGGGGGGAAGAATCTCTGAGCGTCTTTTCTCAAAGGACTTTGCAGGGGAATTCCAAACTTTCTCCTTTGGCTTTAACACAGAGCTTAAACTCTTAAGCAGAGCCTCAAAGCATGAAAACAAATGTGACTGAACCTTACAGCGTCTCCTTTATCCAACTCATGCCAGGCCTCACAATGTGGTCTTATCTGCACATTTTGGTGAGAATGAGGCTCCAATATGAACTGAGAGTTGCGGAGTATGAGGACCCTGGTGAGATTCTCTGAGCTCCAAAGCAGCCGGATCCCACTAGGAGCTGCATCGGCACATGGAAATGCTAGCTTCCAAGCATCAACACCTCTTCCCGAAGGAGGTGATGTTGGGGGCAGGGCTTAGCCTCATTCTTGATCTTCGAGTCACATGCAAATGTCCCTTAGGAGCAGCATCACCGTGGGACATCCAAGCAGAAATTATAAAGCACATGCAGACTCACAGAATTGCCCTGGGTGAGTTACGCGCACATGGACACACATACAAACACACACTTCCACTCCATGAAGTTAACAGTGCTGGGCAACATAAATCTGTTTGATGCAATCTACTCTGGAGTTGCAGAGACTGAAGAGAAAAACGTGCCTTTCCTTAGCCGATTACTGAAGAAAATCAGTGTGGGCTCGATCTGACTCACAGGGTGCTGCACAGAGCAGGGACACTGCGTAGAAGAGCCCGGGTTGGTGGCAGGACAGTAATTTTTCTAAGAGCGATAGAATCCATGGGCAGACATCACCAGCAGCATGCAGCCAGGCCAATCTGGAGACAGTTTGCGTCTTTCCTCTCTCTGCAAAGGCAGAGCCCAAGCCGGCTCCTGTCCTTGGTGGGGAGGAAGGATTCGGCACACTGCCTGAAGCAGGAGAGCGCTCAGAGATGGTTTCCTTCATCCCTTTTCTTTTCTCTTATAAAAATTCTACTAAGGGCCAAGCAATGAGCCAGCCTGTTCCCAGCAAACGGGAGAGAGAATAAGGAGCTTGTCAAAAATGATTCTTCCCAATAGTCATCCACCTGGTCAGAGCTGCCCGTCTCCGTTCCTGATTCCCACGCCTGCCTGTGCACAGGCGCCGCTGTCTGAGGCTGGTAAGGAGAGGTGTGCGCAAAACTGTCGCTATCACAGGGACGCAGTCCTCGGCCGACTCCTCCTTAGCACAGTGCTACATGATAATACAGTTATACTTTGGAATTAGCATACTGTTTCTTCCCGAGCAGCATCCTAAGGGCACTTGCTGGCTCTTGTCAGTACAGTCAGCACTCTGGTGGACAACAGTTAAAGGAAAACAGAAGAAGAAAGAGGGGAGCTCCTTTGTGGACACGAGGTCATGTAAAAAGATCACAGGTGGACACTACTGCTAAGTTTGGGAACATAGAAATTTCTACCCCATTGCTGCTTGGCAAGTGTTATTGTTGGTTGGCCCGGTATTTGGCTCATCGGTGTCGTGACAAGACTTCCCTTTTTGTTGTTGCTGAGGGATGGTAAATTCTCCAATCAAGTTTGGGCCTTAATACACATCCTAGGCATTGCTGCCTTGACAGTCTTTTCTTTTTCTAACTGCCATCTATGTGCAGGACTTAGAAGAGTTTTGCTTTTTTCTTCATGTCGTTGCGTCTCCAAAGAGGTAACTTGTCAAACTCCTGTATGGACATCCCAAAGATTTCCCGAAACACTTCCGGGGCTAAGTGGCGCTGGGAAGACAGAACAGAGCAGGGGTCAGTCCTGATGGCCACATGGATGGCCTGGAGAGCTGCTCTCCAGTTTGCAAATACAGCTGGCTCTCCAAATGGGTGGGTTCCCTGTCCTCAGATTCAACCAAATATTCCCCTTGCCAGAAAAATTGCACCACTATCTCACATGTGTAAACCTTTGGGTCATTTTCCCCTAAACACTACACCTGTTTACACTGCATTTGCATTGTATTTGTTATTATAATTAGTGGGAGATGATTTACTGTATGTACAAGGATATGTGAAGTTCATATGCAACTGCTGCATTATTTTATATAAGGGATTTGAGCATCCATAGACTTTAGGATGTGAATGAAGATCCTTGACTCAATCCCCCGAAGATACTGAGGAGCACTGTCAGCATCTTGAAGAGCAAAGCAGCACGACAGGAGGGGAGGTCTGGGGCTTGTTACCAAGCATAGACAGGGAGGCCTCATCCTCCCCAGATCAAAGAGCTGACCGAAGTCTAACAACATGGTTACAATTCAGTGTTACGCCAGTGAATAATGACAGGAAACAGGAAGGTGATTTATCCTGGTGGAGGCAACTCCACTTCAGGGCCCTGGAATGTTGAAAAGATGCTGAGAACATGGACCAGAGCCATAGCAAGTCAATGAGAGACAGAGAGAGACGAAGAGAGAGAGACAGAGAGAGAGAGACAGAGAGAGAGAACTTCCAAAGTGGTCCCCGAGGAGCTCAGGGCTTCTTCTTGGCTCTACCATAGGCAGAAAGGTGGATGTTACTGCTGTTCCCAGGAAAAGTTCCATTAGGACTCTTGGGCCATTACTCTTGGAACCACCCTGACCTCTGATACGAAGGCATTGCCTTTTGTCAGGGAACAGTAATGGTTCTTCCTGAGACTGGCAGCCAGAATTCTTCTTAATTATAATCATTTGGGTGGAAAAGTACAAAGACCAGTCTTCCACGTCTAAGGAGCCTTGGGTGTGTGCACCCAGATAACCCTCAGCGAGGAATGCGGAAATAACCAAGAAAGAGACTTGCTCCTTATAAACTCCTTGCAAGCTCCTTCCCTTGCTCTCCTGGACTCAGCCGAGGCTCAGAGAAAGACAGGAATCCGGGAATATCCAAAGATCCCCCATCTGCACCTCTTGCTCTAATTATGGCAGAGTCCTATTTCCAAAGACCATGACTAAACTCACACTGTCTCCATATTTTCTAAATATTACCAGGCATTTTAAATGCTGATATAAGTGTAAATTTAAGTGTAAATAAATTTAAATCTAAGTGCACATGCTGTTCTACTGAACTCCCTGAAGCCAGGAAATGCCTGCTTCATGTAGAGGTCAAAGTTCTGCCTCCTCTCCACACCATATGCATGTCTGAGAGCAGGGGCTGTGTCTGGCTTCTTATGCACGTCCATGTATTAACAGAATAAGAGAAATGAATGAATGCTTACAAACTTGTTTCTCACGGTGTTTGTGTTTTGGGTGGTACTGGGGATAAAATCCAGGGCCTTCATACTTATGTATATCCCCAGCCCTTTTTATTTTCTATTTTGAGACAAAGTCTTGTAAAATTACTAAATTGTCCAGGCTGGGCTTGAACTGGGGCATCCTCCTCCCTCAGCCTGCCAGAGTGCTGGGATTATAGGTGTGTGCCACCACGCCTGGTATCTCACGGTTTTATCTCATTAGAGATCCTCTGAGATCCGAGAATCTTTGTTCTACCTACAGTTTGAAGTTGATGGCTCTGCACTTGGGTATGGATTTTTGTTTTACCTCCAGTCGGGTTCTGTCCACATCTCTCAGGATTTTGTTGCGCCCTCTGTTGGTCACCATGAGCATTTCATATGGAAATATCTGAGAAGGAGAGAAAACATCTCTTGAACACTGCTGTCCATTTTATTAAGCAGAGCCTATCTAAAACCTGGTATTTCCAAGAAAGAGCTTATGAGAGCTTATCAAGGGAGCATCTGAGTAGAAGGTGTCCCTCCTGAAGACCAATAAAAGTTCCAGTGTCCAGGGCACAGGGGCAGATTCTCTTCCCTCCATCTCCAACTTTCCAGCAGCGTGTCAGGCAGCACGGTGCCCTGGGAGGCTTTTGCTGAGTGCAGAGCGCTAATTTACTATGAATGGCAAAAATCAGAAGAAAACTGCAGTTACAGGTGCACGCGCTGTCTCTTACAGGACGCTGGGGAATGGCAGGATACCTCTGTGGTTCAACAGCCTCGCTTCATCAATGGCTCACAATTCCCAGCAGCTAGGCGGGCCCAGGAGCAGAGTTCTGGCAGTTGACATAATGACATAAGCCCTGGTGATGGTCATCAAAAGGCATAAGCCCTTGAACACTGCTGGACGTACAGAATGAGTTGTAGCTAGGGTGATCAGCCATCCCAGTTTGCCCAGGACTAAGGAGTTCCCGGGGTGCACGACTTTTGGTGCTAAAGCTAAAGAAAGTCCTGTCAAAGGTGACACGTTGGTCATCCTGCCTCAGCAATCTGCAGCTGTTCCATTCAGCCTTATAGGACACATGGGAAGGGCCAAAGTGCCACCTAAGTCATAAGGAAGAGGGGCTGGAATGCAGCACTATGTGTACCGTGGGCCTAACCTGCAGACTTAGTGTGCCAGCAGTGGGATGGTGAGGGCTTCATGATATGGTTTGTCTGAATGTACCAGCCTAGAACAAATGGGCCTTGCATGCTGAGAAGGGCAAAAGGGTAGGAAACCTAATCTTTTTAGGGCCATGTCATCCTGCAGGGAGAGGAAAAAACAGCTGCACTTGCCTTTGGTTCCAACATGTTGGGCATGGACACTCCTCGGTCCATTCTCATGGCGGGCATGTGGCCATCCGGGAGGGTCTGCAACAGAAATACTGGCTCAGGGACAAGAATGAAATAGCAGGGATCTCAAGGGAGGACTCTGTGGGCTCCCAAACATCCCCTTTGTGTCTTACTCTTCACCACCATTTTATTGACCTGTCACGTTCACTACCATGTATTTTTCCAAAATGAGATCTTTATTGAATAAGGGAGGGAATACTGCTCTTTTTAATCAAGTTGGGGAAAAATTCTGGCTTAGTAACTGTGGCTTAAACTCCTGAATTTAGGCTACATGTCTGAGAGTACATAGTATGTGAAAAACTGTCAGGCCTATTATTATTATTTTACTTTTAATTTCATTTTTCTTTGCATATTTCACTTTTCTCATTTTCCATTTAGTTTAACAAGATTTGGGCTGCAGAGCTGGAGGTGTAGCTGAGTGGTATAGCATTTGCCAGCATGTGTGAGGCCTTGAGTTTCATCCCTAGCACACTACCCACATGCGAGCGTGCACACACACAGGAGCACATGCCCACGCCCACGCATGTAACAGAAAACCATTCCTGCTATTGGCCAAGGCCTAACTTTTTTTCTTTTGTTTTTTTGTTTTGTTTTTTTTTTTTTTTTTGGTTTTTCTCCGGTACCGGGAATCGAACTCACGACCTTGCACTTGCCAGGCAGGCGCTTTTTGCCGCTGAGCTAAATCCCCAGCCCCCTACCTTTTTTTCTTTTGCAAACAGGCAAGAAAGGAGAGGATAAAAATACTGAAAGGTTATAAAGTCTTTTTTAAAAAGCTCAAATAAAAAGCTACACATGGCAGACCCAGGATGCTGGTCCACTTCCTCCTTGGAGAGCTCCCCTAAGCCAGAGAGAGACAGTCTCCCCACACTGGGCCTGGCCTGTGCTGTGTCCCTGAGGCCTGCAGGGACAGCTTGATGTGGGCCCCAGGCACGCCTGCTCTGTGTGGGATGGAGCTAAAGATCAACACCAATCCACATCTCCTCGGCAGAAATCACTCTTCAGCAGCAAGCAGCCTGGATCGGCAAATGGCTGATGCGGCCAACTCCAGAAAGATGAAGTATTCATACCTGGTAGTCTGGAAAGAAAAAGAAAAGGAAGTTTCATGAGGGTGGTCCACGGGAAGACACGGAACCATTATCAGACAGCCTGCCTTCTATGACCACAATTCCCAAGATGCCCCCAGTGAGCCATGCTCTCTGTCCCCAAGTCGCACAGACACTGCACCACCAGCCTCCCTGGGGTCAGGAAACCCTGTACTAGCTTTGGAGACGGATCAAAACATCCTCTTCTCTCTCTCCTTGATAGGGTGATCAACGATATGGTGGCTATTAAAAACAGGAGGGGTTGTTTTGAAAAAGGGTCTTAATATGTAGCTCAGGCTGGCCTTGAACTCACTATGTAGGCCAGGCTGGCCTTGAACTTGTGGCGATCCTCCTGCCTCAGCCCTGTTGAGATTACAGGTGTACAGTACCAACCCAGCTACAGTATTTTAAAAAAAATACTCACTATAGTAAAAGACACATTTCCAAGAAAGACAGGATAAGTGTATCTGAAGCAAGGAGAGTACTTTGAGGGGGATTATGGCAGTGCATGTTTTACTGTAAAAAATATTTTTTAATTTAAAAATGTGCGATATCTTTTGGTCAGACTCCATTGATCAGCTGTTTATACCAATTTCTGTCAAAGAAAAATATTCCAGCATGTCCTATCTACCTTATCCTCCAGAGCTGGGACCCACTGACTTCTGGCTCTTCCCCAAGGTCAAAACTCTAACCGACAAACAAAACCATTATGTACTGTGAATAATGAAAATATGTACTAATTTATGTACTAATAAAAATAAAATTTAAAAGCTACCATGGAAAGTAGATGTTCTGAATCTATTCAGGACATGGGGGCAAACATAATAGGGCAACTAAAAGTGCTCAGGAAAGAGGACTTCCAGAACTGCTTTAGAACATGACAAGAATCCTGCAATAGGTGCGCTTGAAACAACGGGGAGGAATTTGAGGAGGCCTAATGGTAATGTGTCTTTGCTGTAATCAATGTTTTAAACATTTAACATTCCACATATATTTTGATCACAGCCTCTTATGTATGTTGAGGGCAGAGGTTGTGGTGGGCTTTATCGCTGCACTTTCAGGCATCTAACAGAGTGTGCAGCACACAGGAAGAGCAATGACTGGATGCTGCTCAGGACTTCGTTTCATTAAAGATCCTCAGAGAGATCAGCAATTGCGCTCCCAGCTGTGGGATGCAGCACAACATGAACCAGGCAATGCACACGTGATTACTCAGCCTCTCCTGAGCCCCAGGCTTGGGGGAAGGAGCACACACCTGGCCCGGGGGCCTTACCTCGCATTCCCCCGCTCACATCCCCATAGCTGTTATACTGAGCAAAGTCGGTGGAGACAGGCTGAAAAGAGGAGAAGCACATTATTACCAAATCTTCATAGCCAGCATTTTGGAGTCAGCTGAAAATGAGAAATGGACTTAACAAAGTCCTAAGAGTCCTTCCCAGGCTAAACTCCCGGGTCTTCTTTGAAATCTGTCTTTTGTAGTACATCTATTGGTCCTGCACGCAGGCTCTTGGTACACAAATATCTCCTGTTTATAAGTAAAAATGTATTTCCTATGCATTACATACTGACATTTGCTCTACACCTCCTAAGAGGACAATTGCAACAAATTTTATTTTTAAACAGAGACAATGAATCAAATAATTACTTTTTTGCTTCACTGTAAAAATATTTGCCACAGTATTGCTGAATCTAGTCTCCAGTCAAGCTTACATAGGTCATTCATTTATTTTTTTTAAATTTACTTATTTTTTTTGGTTTTTCTCCAGTACCGGGAACCAAACTCACGACCTTGCGCTTGCCAGGCAGGCGCTTTTGCCGCTGAGCTAAATCCCTAGCCCTGGTCATTCATTTACTTAAAGCTAAAAAGCCTTCTCTTAATGGAAATATTTCACTTTGGCTGTAACTCACAGTGATTTACCAAGTGATCAGGGCAACTAAAATTACCGCTATAGTTCATGGTAGATCAAGAGTCCTACGACCGTGTCCTATGTGCATGTCTGTGTCTACAGTATGTCCCACACTGTAGACCTCATGGCACTGCTCCAAGCAGGACCAAGGGAGGAGTGATGTACAAATGATCCACAGAAATCTTACCCGGTGGAGTCCATTTCTTCCATAGCCAGGGAGAGATGAGGTTTTTGATGATGGAGCAGGTAAAGCTGAATGAAGAAAAGTTTTTTTTTTTTTTTAAATTGTCAGGAAACCAGAAATCCAATTCTTTCATGAAACTGGAAGCATATCTGTCTCTTTTGCAGAAGAGATTTAGCAAAAACAATGCAAATCATCTTGGACTCAATTGTTCACAAATGCCACTACCATATTTGGGGAACACAGGGAATGGTACCCAACAGTGATTTTGCTGAGGAGGGACAGGGAAAGGACACACAGCACAGCTGGGACTATGCCAGCTGTGCTTCCTACAAGCCAGCATGTATCTAAATAGCTGGAGTGCTTTATCTCTTTGTAGTCTTAACACAAACCCTATTAATACTATCATCAATACTTCTATTTGGTCGGATACTTCACTAACTGCTATTTCCTCTTCTGTAGATGGAGATCACATGATTCTAAACAGCTGGGCAAGGATTTGAATGCAGGCATATGTAGGTGCATAAGCCTCATGCCCAATGCGACATGAGAGCAGTGACGTGCCTGGAGGTCACTATGTAAGTTATCGCCACCGTGGGCTCCCGGGAGGCCTGTCTGAGGGCATCCCATGGCAAGGGCATGGGAATCTGATAGCTTGTTGCACTTAGCAGACCTGAGCTTGAATTGTGGTTCTGCAGCTTAGTACCTCTGCACCTTTAGTCTTTTTGAAACCTTCATTTCTTGATCTATGTGGGATAGACAGAACAGTCTCTCAGAACCAGAAGGCGCTCAAGAGATGAGTAAAGCTCTGGAAGTGGCCCTGCTTCTTGTACCACAGGCCCGGCAGGCTCTCGGCTTGGGGAAGGCAGGGCTCACTGCTCACCTGAGTGGATGGGGGAGTCATAGCGACTGGCTGACAGGGATGCTCTTTCCCGGCTCTCCCTTTCCATCTCCTCCTTCAGTATCAACTGACCCAGGCCTGAGTTAAGCTGGTCATAGAAAAAGGGAAAGCAAAAAACAGAACTGAAAAAAAATGGAAGCAAAGCCAGCAACCACTTTCATACAACTACAGGTTTCTCAGGTGGTCTTCCAGGAAGTTTCTGATGCTGAGAGCCAGAACACAGGCAGGCCCAGGGTGTGGTGGCTCCTCAGAAGTAGGTCGGGTTCTACACCCTAAGCCTCTCTCAGCTCTTCCTCGTCAAAGCTCCTTCTGTGCAAGCCAGGCTCCACGTCACAGGGATGTGTTCTCTGTCTTCTCCCTCCCCAGAATTCCTGGCAGGAGGCCTCAGAGGGCGTGTGTGAGTGTGTATGGATTTTTATCGTGGGAAGTGGAGACTGGGAATGGCATCTTTAAGAAATTGCACTGATGCGTTTAAAAACAAGGCAAAACAGCAGCACCACCACCAACAAAAAGGAACACAAGCTCCCTGCACATATTTTACAAAATCCAGAAAAAGAATCATCATCTACCACTCAGAGATAACACCATTTGCATTCTGACTTATATCCATCTAACTTCTTATATGTATTTTGTACCAAACTGGTGTGGTCCTTTGTATCCTTTCTTCCTGTATAATTTTTTTTTTTTTTTTTTTTTTCCCAGTACTGGGAATCGAACTCACGACCTTGCGCTTGCCAGGCAGGTGCTTTGCCGCTGGGCTAAATCCCCAGCCCCTTCCTGTATAATTAATGCTGTGTGCATTTCTAATCTCTGGAAAGCATCCTTTCAGGGGCTTCACCAGCGCTTATTGATAGGAAGGGTTTATAGATGGTTATCTGGCTGGGATGCTGCAGGCCCTTGCTAAAGGCAGGAGGGTGTGGTGGGGGTATCTTGGTGGCAGTCCCCTCAGTCTCTTTTCTTCTGGTCCAGACACATGCAAAACCCTCTGAGTCCCAAAGAAAGACTCAAGAAAATGCACCATCCCAAGGGAGTTCCTCCAGCAGGTCCTGCCCACCCCTTGTGGGGTAGGTACCACCTTGCTCTACCTGGCACATGCATCCCACACACCCACACCCTCCTTGCCATGTCCCTTTGATCTCCAGCCTCAATATCATCTCCTCTAAAGCCAGTGCATATTCCTTCTTATTCTTATAAGTGAATGCCGGTCATGTCTCGTCTGCCAGACTACAAGCCCCTTGAGGGCTGGGACCACCTCCTTCTCATTTGGTGGCTTATATGTATCTTATGGAGCTAGAAATGAAGGCAACAGCAAGGTACTTTATGGACAAACCTTCATCAACTGTTCTTCCTGAAGCTGCCGGCGTCTCAGAAGTTCCTCCTCATCTTCCTCTCTGCCACTAGATCTGCGTCTCGTGTCAGTTCCTAATGCCACAGCAAAGACAGCGTCACACACCAGGCCTGCGGTGAGGGAATCCTAACGGACTAGCTCACCTGTGTACACCTGTTAGGCTGGCAAGGTCAGCGGGGGCCTTCACCATGTTGAAGTGAACAACTTAAGGAGATCCCCCACCCGCTAAATCAGCATCAAGGCTGGTTTCCCATGAAAATGGGCCCCTTTGTCAAGCTATGTAGTTGCCTGTGAGTGCAAGGAAAGCGTGAACTTGGGCTTCCCAAGTGGCTGCTCAATTATACTGTGTAAATCACCAGTAACCACTGGTCACAGCTCGTTGTGGTAAATGGGGGCATCTCTCGCCATTGCTGATGTGCCAGAGGTCAATTTTAAAAACGCAGGATGATCTAAATTTGTCTACATACCAACAGATCAGTAAGATAATCACTCTATTTGGCCAGTTTTAGAATCTTACAGTTTCCTCTTTTTTTGAATATTTAAGACTTTTTATGAGACTATCACTCGGTCTATTCTTAATGAATTCATTAAAAAGCACACTTGTTATATTTCTTTGAAAGGATAGGCCTCTAATTTTCTTTTTTCTCATACTGTGAAAAATGTTCAAAGAAGCTTTATATAAAGTGTTAATATAACTAAACAGTTACTTTGGAACACTATTACAAATTTCATACAGTTTTTAAACTTCCTAGCAAAAGGGAGACATGGAATGGAGAGGAAGAATCTGTCTGACCCATTGGAAGATTAAGATAATCGTTGTTTTGCCTAAATTGCTTGGACTAATCTGGCAGTGGGAGGAAACAGGAAAGTTTGCTAATCTAATGAAAATAAACTTTAACTAATAGTCCTAGTTTTCATCATTTTAATTAATGGGCCAGATATTTTCCTCAATTTGGAACCCAAAGAAACTTTATCTACTCAGTGATGGTAAATTTGACCATAAAAATTTAATTTTCTCTCTCTCTTGATGATGTTGTCCCCTAAAGCTTAGCTGGCTTTAATGAGCAACATAACTGAACTAAGAAACTCAAGGGCCTCACACACTTCCTGAAGGGCACAGATTGGCAGATGCTTAGTTCTTTTTTTTTTTTTTTTTTTTTTTTTTT